ATGACGTACACTGTGTTTTGAGCACTAGCCAAAAGAAACGCGAGTGTTCCATAGTGATGTCACTATGTTCTGGAAGTATACAAAGGAGTCCAACGGAGGCGTTTCAGGCAGGAGGGAACTTTGGGATTGTAGCCTTTGTAGACCATTTACATGCACAAAAGCCTACTACACACTACAGGAAAGGGGAAACCCCCAAAAAGCATTTTTGATAATTCTTTGATCTGCCGGAACTCACTGGAAGTGTCCCTGTTGCCTGTGCAGTTAAAGTGAAATGCTGCAGGTGCTATAGATGCCACATGTTCTTCCTTGCAGTTACATAACATGTGAGTTGGCTGATCCAATTCCTCTGAAACTGAAAATGTTAACACTTATTGCTCCTTTAATACAATTATATCAGGTTCACATTTTTCTTCACAATCGGAACATAAGACCTCAATTGAGTGTATTGGCGGTGGCACAAGTTGGTTAATAGAACTGACACTTGCATTCAGTTCTTTACAAAGTCAGACTGGACAGTGTCTCTAACGTGGTGGGCTTCTGGGAGTCAGGCGCCAGATCTCTGGGAGGGTTAGTTCCCTTGCTGGTTTCCCATCCCAATTCAATGAGATCTCATCCAAAGGCCCGCAATTGTTTCCTCCAGCCTGCCCAAGGTACAGTGCTGCTTTTGTTCCATCCCTCCATCGGCTCTGAATACAGTCCCAGAGCCAGACAGACCAGTAGGGTGTGTTATCAGGACTCTTTGTCCTGGTTCCCCTGCACAGCTCCCCATCCACAGAGGCTCCAGGCTCTGTCTCTGATGCCTCAGTAGCATCTCTTCCACTTCACATGTTATGTTTCAATGTTGATTAACTCTACAGGATATTCATACACACCAATTCAGACTGTGACCTTGATTGGAGTCATTATTCTAAAATAAACTTGATGAAATCATTATCCTGCCCTAAGAGGACCAAATAACTGTTTTCATCTTTTTCCAGTGTTGCCAAATATGTGTCAATGTAAGTAGCTCGCACTATAGCTCCAAAGAACTTCAAGTTGCCAGAAGACATCATGTTCTCATTTGCATATCAGTGACATCATGATGCATTCATTTGCATAAAACCAAAGAACAACCCCATGCTGTCAGCAGAACCACCGTGAACTTAGATTACTCTGAGCAGGGAATGAACTACAATATAGCATATTCAAATACTATCACAATATTCTTGCTTTTTCCCTCCTGGCCTAAATAAGTTACACTTTTGCTGTGTTGCTTAAAAGCTAACGGAGGATGTGTCTGTCTGCCAGCCGCTGCACGCTCTGCTACGGGGAAGCAAGTTGTTGTTGTTTTCTTGTTTGTGCCACTTTGGATGTAATCCAAACAAACTATCCCATTTGCAGGGATCAAGGATGTTATATAGAGTGGTGCACACTGAAAAAAATAAAAAAATACAGTAACGTTGACTTTAATTAAATGCATATGTCAGCTAATTTATTATGTATTAGGGTTAGTAAAAAACAATAATAATAAGTTGTAAGACTTATTTTATATTGTAACTTAATATTATTGCTCTCAACTAACTTAGTACAGTTATGTGTAATCTGTTGACATAATACATTTCATTAAAGTCAAGGTTTTCGTTGTTCACTGCAGTGATGAGGCATGTTAGTAGGTGCACGCGGGAGTTAGCATTGCACGGCGTCATTGACAAAAATAAATGGGAGTTTTCCATTCGATTGCAGATTAATGCAGAAAATAAGATCAAACACACCTTAATGATACTAACAGGTATTGTTAAGCAGGATCATCTCCACACATTTATGATTTCTAAAAAGTAAATAACGCCAAAAGTAAAAGGCTTAGGTGAAAAAGAACGATATCATGGTTTCACGACAGCGCATCACCACCGCAAATCCTTCCATGAGGAGAGCAGTGTCATTTAGTCACTTGTTCGCTTCCGCCATTTTAATGACACATCGGACCTTCAGACATTCACCAGTGGGTGTTTACTCAAATATGTGTGAGGGGGAATAAAAGTGAACATCTCTTAAGCTTGTGTTAATCACAGACCTTATTTCAGGCTTCTAACCCAAACACGTGTTGATCTGTTGATAATGTTCAACAATGATCTAATTGCACATTTAACTCAAGTCTATTTAAATCAAATAGTAGATGGGAAGATAGCTGCCTCAAAGGAGGGACTTACCCTGCATGTCATTTGCAAACCAGAACAAGGAAATTATTTTCTGCCACACCATGATATTTCCCAACCCTGATCAAGTCTTTTTCATGTAAAGCGGAACCATTTGGACAACCTTTAAAAGCCTAAGCCCTCAATACAACTGAATGACTACAGTGTGGAAGCTGGTGATGATGGCAGCTGCTGCTGCTGATAATCAAACATGCATACACACACTCTGCTTATGGAAAAGATTGCTTCAGTTGGAGTAAAGATCCCTCGGAGGTAGATGTTGGTTGGAAAGCGTAGTGAAAGTGGAACAGACTTGAAAAGCATGTGGCTCAGGTGCACGGTGCAGTGCTGTTGAGCAGAAGACAGAAGGTGCAAAATACAGTGAATCTTGACACCTAAATGACAGTGCTTTGGTTGATTGCTAGTGACACTCCCCCCACTGCATCTCTTCAAATGGCGAGACGTGCAAATACCCGGCCGACAGGCGCAGTGAGATGCATTTTCCTGGATGTAGGGATAATGCCAGAGGCAGTACGCTCGTACAGAGATAAAGCCCTCTGGCCTCATTCTTCTCAACTCGCTGTAGGCTGTCAGTTCAGCATGCTCTCACATCTTATGCTGAAAATGGATTGTACAAATGTTCAGGTCATTCATTGATGATGTTATGGGAAGATTCAGATTCATTGCATTGCTGCCCTAAAGGTGGTTATCTGGTTTTAAAATCTGCAAAACAGTTAGAAGGTGTACAGAGATGCTTAACAGTGGTGATTGAATCTGGCAGGATACTCATCACGTTCTACTTACTCATAGCAGACTAGAGGTGAATGGTGCACAGACTGCACACCAGTCTCTGGGTGAGGAACTAAACCAAGGAAATGCAAAGAGTGGCCTTATTCAGATGTGTTCATAACGTCAAGGGAAAAAACACTGAAGACTGACTCAGAGGAAACTTCCCCCGACGAATAGGACATCTTCAATGAATAATACTGCCGTGACTTCGCTAACGTCAGTAGCTAGTGTGAACTACACCAGGTGCTATACCTGTTAGCATCCTTTCAGGTCACACATTTCAACATGACACTTCATGAGTAACAGTTGGAAACAAATCTTCCACATAATGCTTTTCTAAGCAGAACTACTCATAATATCCCTCTCATCAAAACTCTCCCTGTTCCAAATAATGATATCTGTTCTGTGCTATTAAGCCTATACTTGTATTCCTTTTACATATACATTACATTTCCTGCTAAAAATGACATGTGCTGTCTTTCATTATTTTGCAAACCGCAATGCATGCATATCAGTTATTACTTCTAAATGTGTGTTTTCAGAGAGATCGTTCCCTTCCTGTGATGCACCACAGTCATGTTCACGGTGATGAAAGCAACATGTGTTCAAAGAACTGGCTACTTGACATTAAATTAAAATGATTGAAATGTATGTACTCCTATTGGTAGCTGCCCTACAATCAGCTTCTGTAGGGATAACATGACAAAAACAGCTGATTTTGTCATGTTCCTTTTAAAAAGCTTTCAAAGGCCTCCCCTGCAACAATGTCATATTTTGGCAATTTGTGTTTGTGTGTGTTTATGGAGAATTTGCTATTTTTGGATAGTTATAATAGAAACAACATTTGTAACTGTTCACAAATAGTATTTGGTGTAATAAGCACGCTTTTAGGAGTGCATTTACCACATGTGTGTTTCTGTTCTTTGTTGCTTTGCAATCAAATCAACTATATAATAAATAAGAGAATTATAAGACTGCTAGTTAATTTCCAGGTGGTCTGAAACAGCTGTTTCAGAAGCTGCATATAGATGCTACACAGAACGTGCTCATGGCTCACTGCAGAATAAGATAAGTAAAGGTAATCAGAGCAGCCGTGAAAATGATGCACTGACAATAGTATAACATCAACTGGTGTCCCTCCTTTGCTTCCATAGTTCAGTCAGATCGGACACTGAAGAGAGCATTCTACGGTCTGTCAGTGAGCGCCGTCACGCACACCAACACTTTCAAACCTGATTTCTTTACATATTGAATATTACCTGATCCCATCCCCTGAATTAAAAATAATTTAGTTTTGCATTTAGACATGAAGAACATAAGCTCCATGCTTGTACAGATCCTCACACAACAATCACATAAAAAACTAAATAGCACTTTTTTCTAAACCACGATGGTTATAATTAAACAAAGGATGAGTGGAGTCTCCTACATTTGAACACATTCAGCAATATCAGTGACTCCCAATTAAGAGCAACACATATTCTTCTTTTGGAATAGAGAGGTCAGACAATTATGACTTAAACTCAGACTATATAATGCCTCCAATATAATATTTATATAATTTGTAATCTGACTGTCGGACGTCGCAAAGCCATGGGCCAGGAATATCTGAAGTCATTTCTATTCAGATTGTTCCTAAAACTACAGTTCCTATTGAGCTGTAATATTCTAAAACAATATCATGCCCTGTAAGCATGAGGACAGAAGATGGCTGTAAAATCAAGATGTCATATGGCTCTGAACATTTCACTTTACATTGAATTTTGATTCTATAAAAATAAGAGTTTAAGAGTCTTAAGCTTTTTCAGTTTGCCGTGGAGTTAGTTCTAAAGCAGCCAGGCAGCCAACAGGTAAACTGAGACAGCACGTGCACCAACATGACACCCAATGAACCACGGCATATCCATCAAGCCATCTAATAGAGCTGATGTTCCGCCTCATGTGAGGATGTTCACAGAGAAGAAACCCTTTAAAGAGCCCACCTCTCTAATTGTCGTATAAAGATAAACTGCGATAGAAAACCCACAGACCAAACGCCGATCGTTTTTGTTTCTTTTTACTTCAGTTAAGAAAGTTACACAAAAGGTGGCAAATGTCTCGACAATAAATAATAAATAAATGTTGTTGCACGGGAACAAACGAAACATTTTCTTCCAGAACTAACGGTATTTTTGACTTAAATATACACATCTTTGGGAAAGAAAAAAAGAATTCTCGGACGGACACTGATTCACACAAATGTCCCACGAAGCTTGTGGCAAAAGAGAGGTATACCTTGTTGCAAATGCTTTCGGGTCATGAAGGAAACCGTGTAATTAAATGAAGAAAAGCAGTGCTGTTCCCCTCCTCGTGGTCTATTACAGGATGAAGTGCGTGGACCGAATATTTAAAAAAGTCACCAGTCAATGTTTCTATTCAAAGTAGCGCACAGCTTTTCGCAAGATCTCGATGTCTCTCCTACTCAGAGGTCCCATTTATGGATGGTTCATGTCTTCTCGTTTTGGCAACTATAACCAGGCGTGTGCGCGTGCAGCACCGGCCATGACGCATCCGCCCGCCTCTTCGGGATGGACATCATATAATGAGGCTGTGGTAAAATCCCATGATTGTCTTCACAGTGTCAAAATACAACCAGGGGGGTTGTTGGTGCAGTCGGGAGGGATGGGATGAGCAGGGGGGGTGCTCCCGTCAGTCCTCAGGCCTCGATGGGGCTGGACACCATGCTGTTCGGCGTGTCCGGAAGCTGGGACGACATGGACGCTACCTCGCTGCCCGTCGAGTTGGAGCCCGGCCCACCCTCCGAGAAGCTGACCTGCGGGACAAGAGCAGCGGTCAGACACATGGACACACCGTGAGGGAAGGTTGGAGATGCGCAAACCAAAAGCGGCTATGGATACATGTTCTGGTGCATTTACATCCGACTATCGTTTACATTATTATCCAGTTTTCCCACAGCTTCCTCAGTTGTTAATTTCTCATCATGTGTAACTAATAACTGCTATATTTAATATATAGCCTACTGTTTACTGGCTGACGCTGTCATTTCAATGCAGACTGTAAGCCCACTGTGGAGAGATAACTGTGTTATATTCACGTTTTACATGTAATGCTTCCCTGCTACCTCCTTTGTGTATATTCACTTCATGTGTATGATAGACTACATGCTTACTTTAGTTTTTAAATGGATTTGTACTTATTGGATTTTCTTTTATTAACGTGTGCTTGCCTCTTTATGAATTACCTCAACTACTTGTATGCCTATTTTCTGCACTGTCCCTTTGCTGTAACATTGTACACTATACACTGTGGGACGAATAAAGGATTTCTCTGGTCTCTATGAAAATGAACTTGCAACATTTTTTAAAAAGCACACTGGAGGCTGAACTCTTTCTTAGGTTTCTGCGTCAATTGGAGCATATTAAGAAAAGGGGAAACCAGCGGCTGCCTGGAAAACCCGCTCAGACCAAGTAGGCCTAGGTTCAAAGGGATAGTTTTCTTTATATTAAAGTAAAAACATACAGTATAGTTTCTGAAGTCAGTTGAGCTTAAATGAAATCATTCTACTCGAGGTAAAGAAGCAATCTGTATGTATTTCTAAATGAAATCATTCAAACATGTTAACTGTTTCTTGTCTTCACACAGCTCAGCTTCTGTATACAGCATGTCATGTGTGTGTGTGTGTGTGTGTGTGTGTGTGTGTGTGTGTGTGTGTGTGTGTGTGTGTGTGTGTGTGTGTGTGTATGTGTGTGTGTGTGTGTGTGTGTGTGTGTGTGTGTGTGTGTGTGTGTGTGTGTGTGTGTGTGTGTGTGTGTGTGTGTGTGTGTGTGTGTTCCCGGGATGAATAAAGGTTTGATTGATTGACCTCACCGTGTCTTTGCTGGAAGTTATTTTAAGAGTTTTGGGGGGTTTGTGTCATGCTGCGTCACTCCAAAACAAATACACCGATAGGGATCAAATAAATATAACTCCAAAGGTTTAAAATCCATCACTGGTGCTGTGTTTGTCATGAAGCCGAATCATATACAGCAATTGTTTTATCTAAGGATATAGATCACTGTAGTGGAGGGTCTTTAAACAGGTGGAATGATGAGCATCCACGGAAACAGTATACATTTAAATAACTAAACAAATCTCAATGAAGGAGGACCAGCTAAAATAATGTAGTTAATGGGTTTCAGAACCCTATGTCAGTCTAGTGTTCCATATCCTTTGCAGGCATACTGTGTGTGGTCAAATTGTAACCGAAAATAAAGTTTCCAAACAGAGAAGAATGGATTGTTCTTCACACAAGAACAACTGCATGTCAAATATAAAATATAAATTAATGACAGAATAGTGTTACTAATTAAATACATATGAAGCAGTAATGAATAATGAATAAAAGCGACGAACCAGTTGTTGGAAGGCCGGCTGGTCGATGTCGCTCTGCAGGGCGAAGTCGCTGAGCACCTTCCAGGGCGGCTGGTAGCTCTGCACCTCTACCGGGTTGGCCAGCAGGCCGCCGTCATGCCGCTCCGGACTGGCCGCCACCATCGGGGTGCCCGTCATCCCCTGGATGTTCTGCAAGAAGGGGGGGGGGGGGGGGGGGGTCAGTACCCAGATACACATATTTCACTGTGCGCGCGCGTCTGTGTGTGTTCATGCGCGTGTCTGTATGTGCGCATGAGGAAATGGTGAGGGGGGCATCTGAAATTAATCCACCAGTCAATCAGCAGAACAATCAATAAGCAAGCACACAAATAAACAGAGAGAGGGATTAATACAATGTGTGTGTGTGTGGGGGGGGGCTGTTACATCGCCTTGTCCTCCACTCTGAGACACACGACACGTGTGATAAGGAGTTGTGTGAATAAAAGTGACTGCCCTTGGCTTAAATGATGGCTGCTTTAAATGTAGGAAACCCCCGCGTTAAAAATGTTCTTTGTGAATGGTCACTTGCAATTATAGAGTCTGTCTCTGCGCAAAGACATAATCCGTTCAAATGTAGTCCAGCTCTCACCGTCTTGTCGTTGGGCTGCTGCTGCTGCAGCTGCTTTATCAGGATGCTCCTTTTCTTGTCCTTGCAGCGCTTGTTCTGGAACCAGACCCGGATGACCCGCGGGCTGAGGCTGGTCATCTCCACCAGCTGCTCCTTCATGAGGGCGTCCGGCCTCGGGTTGGCGTTGTAGCAGGTCCGCAGCGTGTGCAGCTGCTTCTCGTTTAGCACCGTCCGGATTCGGGTGGTCTTCTCCGGCTGTTTGTGGACGTGAGGCCGCAGCGCGGGCTGCCGGGCCGAGATTGGTTCTGCTGTTGGGAAGGAGGGAGAAGAACCCAAGGAAGGCAACATCAGTTCATCTGTCTGTACAACACACAATGACATTTATTTTGAATGGACAGGGCTTTTGAGTTTTGCAACGACTGAACAACTTTGCAGCAACGCTATCCCTGCAGATAGAAACCGTTCTTAACACACATTACAAACTGCAGTTGTAAAGCTGCAGTATTTGGCATAACAATGCAACAACATAGAACCATATTCCAGGCTCGTCTGATCCTAGATTTAAAATAATAGGCGAGCCAAACCCTCTCCAGACTGCAGAGCCCGCACAGCGCTGATAACCTGGGGTATTTCTGACAGCAGCGCCCTGTATCTAATCTGAGAGCCTGGCCTGGCCGGCAGAGGTATGCAGGAAGAGCATGTAAAACACAAAACATCGCCTCTATGGGAGGAGAAGACTGAACCAGCCCGACCTCTCCAAGTCAACTAGCAGATGCATGTTAGTTATGTCCCTGCATGAGACTGCATGAACACAAAGATCAGACCTGCCACTAAATCACTCTGCACTGCGCGCAGTTAACTGTCAGTGGCGATGTGAAATACAAGAAGTGCAGATCAGAACATGAGACATCACACTCTTCCGTTTTATGGAGAGCCAATTCAGATAATCCATTTTTTAAGTATCAAAATCCAGACACGAGACATGGAAATAGGCTTTGGAACTTGGTGAAAAGAAAAGAGTCGCAGCCAGGCCGATCGCGGTACAGCGCACAGAATATGTTCCAGCTGTGAGAGTCCTGGTGTCAGCCTTCTGCCCGGGACATTACCTGCCATCTGCAGCGGTCTGGCGGGGTGCAGCGGGCTGAGCGGGACTCCGGAGCCCCGACTGGCCCGCTCCACCACGTCGTGGTCGGCCCGGCAGAAGAGCCCGTCCTCCCGCAGAGCGAACTCATCCCCCGGGATGAGCTGCCGGCTGCAGGCCACGCAGCGGAAACACTCGATGTGGTACACCTTGGAGCGGGCCCTCATCACGAAGTCGTTCTTGCTGAAGCCGATGTTGCATTTAGCGCATTTAATCCCGTACAACCTGCGGGGAAACACACACACACACTCAGTCTGTCTGCCGGGCACTGGCGCTCAAATAATAATCAGATAAACAGTATAGGAAATAAATAAGACGATCAATAAGAATAATACAAATAAGAATAATAATAATAGGTCGTGATTATAATAAATACTTTTTAGATGCGCATTATTTATTTTGTAATCATTGCAAAATAATATTAAATTATTATTATTTTTATTATTATTATTATTATCATTATAATAATGATTATTATTATTATTTTATTATTATTATTTAGCCTACTATCTACTATTTACTATTACTATAGTGGTAGTGGTATGACAGTGAGCACATTTAAGTCTGTTTATGATGTTCCTTATGATGAAGTGATTCTGGTTCTTGTTTGTCTGGATGTCATTATTATCTATAATGTGAATTATTTGAACACGACCTCAACAGTAATTTTGTCACCAGAAAAAACTGAAGGCCTGCCCAAGTTCTTATCGAATATTATTATCAACGCCAAATCAGTGAGTCACTTACAGGCTGTATTAAAACATTAAGAGAGGACATGTGTTTTTGTTATGTTCCTTTATGTCCATCACAAATGCTACTGTCTGATCGAACATTGATTAATAAATAAAGGACTAATGTAATATATTATAAATGCATCTGATGTGACATTAAAATATATTTCTAACTGAGCTGCACGGTCTAAGTAATATGATAATGATCATAATGTTAAAGAATAAATAAATGAACCCTCTAAAATGTAGGGCTTCATGTCACTTAACCCAGTAATTTAATCTGAATCTAAAACTGTATAATAACAAAACAATTTGTAATAATTCCAACGGCCGTGCAGCTCGCTCTGGTCTATCTGCAGAGGGTGGTCCCGTCCCGGCCGTCCTACCTGATGTAGTCCCGTTTACAGTACGTCTTCCCGTCCCGGACGAAGCAGGTGCAGGACTCGTCCAGATACTGGCTGCACTCCGCGCACTTCAGACAGGCGGCGTGCCACTCCAGGTCCGGGGACACCCGCAGGATGTACTGGTCGTGGATCTGGTTCCCGCAACCCACGCACAGAGACATGAGCCGCTTCTCTGGAGGGGCAGAGGAGCGGGACACATCAGACAGGGGACAACGGTCCGCGGGACAACGCATCATGGAGAGTTGGCCTTAGCATTCAAATCGATACCGTTATTATTATTATCAGTAGTAGTAGTAGTAGGCTATTACGTTGTTTGTTCTTTTCGTGGTTAATATTAATAATAGTATAGCATATTCGATATGGTCCAATTGTTCGTTTAAAAGTCTGTATCCGCTGACGTTAAGCTTCACTGACACCTTTGAATTCAGTAGCTTATTTTAGATACTTTTAAAGGCCATTTCACACCACACACACACAAAAAAAGAGAACTCTCAAGTTGTGAAGAATTTAGTTCCAGAATCGCATCCCAACTCCGAACAAGTGTCTTACTTTTCGGCGGATCCCCCATGTCTCCCATGTCCACAAAGTAAGGCGACGTTAGGTCCACTGTCACAGCGGGCTGCGGCGCCTGGAAGCCTGGATGTGTCCTCCGCTGCCGGGCTGCCGGGCCAGGGGCTGTGTGTCCGGCTCTCAGAGGGAGTGTGAGTGTGAGTGTGTGTGTGTGTGTGTGTGTGTGTGTGTGTGTGTGTGTGTGTGTGTGTGTGTGTGTGTGTGTGTGTGTGTGTGTGTGTGTGTGTGTGTGTTTGTGTGTGTGAATGTGTGTGTGTGTGTGTGTATGTGTGTGTGTTTGTTGCCGGTGTGTGTGGAGCTCTGATCCTGACAAGCCGTAAGGCTGACGTAGGACAGCAGCACGTCATCTGCATGAGCAGCTGATTGGCTGTGCAGACCCTGGACACACACACACGCACACACACGCACACGCACACACACACACACTCACCCACACACAAACACACTGGCACACTTATTGCTGCATATCACTTGTTTTCCAGCTTTGCTTTGCTCTTTTCTCTTCTGTTAGTCTTCTCTCTTGTTTTTGTAGTGCGCTGCTGCTGAGTGGACTATTGTTTACATGCTCAGCTGTGTGTGTTCCACACACTTCACCTCTTTTTTTAACTTTCAATATAAACTGGACATACATTAGACTATAGAGAAACATTCCTGGACACACCATCTAAGGTCGTACAGGATATGGATTTATGAATCCATAAAGTCTTGAGACATGACGTAAACATATTACACCAAGCTTATAGCGCCTATATTTTAATCGCAATCATAGGCTGTCTGTTATATATATATATATATATATATATATATATATATATATATATATATATATATATATAATGCCTCTGGCTGCTGTCATGTAAAAAAAGTAACCTTATTTCCACTCTTGAAGAAACTCTGCATTGTGAGCCTAAGATAACACATTTTAAAAAATTGGTTAAAATTAGGAAAATATCCCTCCATGTGCAGAGAGCAGTGGGGGTGTGAGCCCTGAATCAGAGCTGACAGGCCGGGGCCGCACACACACACACACACACACACACACACACACACACACACACACACACACACACACACACACACACACTCACACACACACACACTCACACACACACACACACACACACACACTCACCCACACACACACACACACACACACTCACACACACACACACACACTCACACACACACACACACACACACACACTCACCCACACACACACACGCCCTCTTGTGTTAGTAAACTCACACCACGTCACACTGCAGTCTCTTATAAATAAAATGAATATATTGTTAAAGGAAGCCTGGAATAATGGACAGCTTCGGCTTTAGTGATGAGGAAACGTTGGTTTAGCACTTCAAGCTGAGTTAGGCTACCAATATAATAATAATAATAATAATAATAATATGAATAAAATAGATATATAATCATGTAAAAATACATTGTAATTGTTTGAAAATGTTAACATTAAATGGCGTGAAAAAATACACTCTTTCATAAGACATTGTTAAAAAAAGGAATTTGAAATGTGAAATTAATGTAATACTTTCTGCTAACTAATTTTGTGTTTGGATCAGATTACATTACAATGAGTTAGACATATGTTATTCAAACCAAATGGGGATGCTGTTTTGTCACAGCAGCATGATGATGGATTTTACACATGAGTTCAAAATATAATACAATAAAACAAAGAATAAGAAATACAATGTGCTGTATAATAGATACTATAATACGAATAGGTTGTTGTATGTGTAAATGTATATAGATACATCATAAACCTTTAAAAAAAAGCACTTTTGCACTCCTTTTAAATGTCATTTTTTGGACTGTCAAATGAAGTTACACAATTGTCACCACATGTTCTCGGTACAAAATGAAGGGTACAAATATTTCCTTTATTTTGTAAAGTGTAGATGGATAGACTTTAACCATGAATGAAATGCATGTATTGACTATACATTGATTAATTGGTCAGATAATGCAGCTCAGTATTACAAAAAATGACTTGATGTTCATATGAATTCTGCGGAATTAAATACATTCCAGTCTTCCGTGGCAGAGTAGGAAATAGTTTGATCTTCATGTAGTGTCAGAGAAGGGACTGATAACATAGGGCTTGTTACATTTTGAATATCATCATTTCCAGGTATAGCTTAGCCTTCTCCATGCTGACTGCATCGCAGTGATGTGACTGAGATACATCTCTTCAGTGAGTCAATGCATGTGTTTTAATGCATAGCTTTAGATTACAAATATTCCTTCTCATTTTGATGATAAATGTTGTACCTATTTTCCATTATCCTTTAACAGGACCAATGAAAAAGTATCATTTATAAATGGTGTAATCAAATCTGATTGTTGTCTTGTTCCACAGGTGAGTCAGGTCTAATACTGTCTGACTCTCATGCTGAAAAACTCTGAGAGCTCTGACTAACACAGAACAGAAATCAATATCTCCAATTTCAGATATTTCGAGATTGCAATGTAAGTGCATGTCAAATGTGAATGTATCTTTTGTGAAAGATATAGGCACATGTGGTTCCCATTACTTTATTTGTAAAACTCAAATTTATACTGCAATTATTAAAGGCAAAATATTACAGAACATAGTTCACAGAATTATCAACATTTTCTTTTAGATGGTTTCTGCGTCCAGTATTTTATTACACAGCATTTGCGTCACATTATTTCCATCTCTAAATGTATTAGTAGTAGAATTGCAGAATAATATCCTCTTGACTTCTGCATTATATATCCAGAGTAGACACATTCTGTCATTTATCATTCTCGTTCTTTCGTTGTTTGCCAGTATTTTATTCAATTTGACCTCAATTGTCTGCTTAACTTTCCAGCACAGAATCCGTTTCGGCCCGATCACTTTGGGGCCACGAAGCAGCTTTTGTCCCCAACAACAAATCTGTTATAGACAGGAAGTTGAGATGGATTCAAATGCAACTATTTGCAATGGATGGAAGGTTGGATTCACAAGTGTTTCCACATACCATTGGCCATGTGGATTGACAGGCTGGGTAAACATGTGTTTTAAAGCTCGATATAAATGAATCTATATATTGGTACTGTTATTATCTTATTGACTCACATGCAAACTGTCAGATTCACTATAATGCTGTATATCCTCCTGGGACCCAGCCCATTGAAAATGTCCTCTGTAGTGGACATTTTGTTAACATGCATCTCCTTTGACACTTTTGAGCTACTCTATCAATCCCTGATGGACATCCTGGTCTTTCCAGTGATATGTCATTGGTTAAAATTGCATGCTGGGAAGTTCCTCTTTCTTTTCATTCAAAATGGCTGGCAAACAAAATGTTATAGAAGCAGGAGGAGAAGTCAAATGTTGTTGAATAATTGTAAGTGACATCCCTAAATTCCTTTATGTTCTCCCTCTGCTATAGCTCTATCTGTTGTGTTTGCGTTACCTCAATGCAAAGCATGCTCTGATTACAGGTTGGATGTAGTGAAAGACTGAAGCTGTGAAAGTGGAGCTGGAGAGTAGAAGCACAGAATCACAGCTTATGACACTGTCAAGACTGGATTTATAATAATTGTGTCACATGTGTTGCATTTATCATAAAATAAATGCAACACTTGGTAAACAGTATCTCCATATTTGTGTTCGTCACTATTTTTGAGAGGCCACTTGGTCCACAACACATCTCTGTACAAAGAGCCTTGGTTCATGTATTAAGTGTAATTACCATCACTTATGAACACGTAATAAATGTTCAATTTAGAATTTAAATTGCCAAATAAGAGGATAAAGAATTGAAGTGCTGGATTTCTAAAAATAGTTTGATAAAATAAATATTATTATGTTTCGGCTTATGATAGAAATGCCTGCAGCAAAATGAACACACAACAGATCATGTGTGATGAACAAAAATATGTGCTTGGCATTTCCAGCTGACTGGCTTTTACCACGACACAAATAATTGATCAGTGCTATAAGTCACATGTTTTTGTTTATCTGCTGAGTGAAAATGCAAGGTGATAGGAGCTATCGATGCATACATTCTTCCGTTGATTTCTGGACTGTTCTTTACTCAGGATCCTTTGTATGAAACGTGGTATGTGATCATTCTGTGTACAACGTTGGATTTGAGCTGCCTTCTTGGCCATACCGCAATTGTAATGTCCGAAATGGTTTTATTGGATTTAATAGGTTTGAATAAAAATAATATACTGCAGTGTCATGCAGTGTCATGCAGTGCAACATTGTGGCTCATCTGTGTGTTTGTAATGGTTTTTAGAGAACAATGAAGCTCTATGAAACAGGAAGGTACCCATACATCCACTGTTGGTCAAGGCCTTTTAATGGGGTTGTTTTCACAGTTAAACTAAATCCAAGCACTTGTCTGGGTGTAATTGGTAAGTCAAATTGAACACAGGGAAATATAGCTTTACATATATATGATAAATATATGCATCTTCTTCTAACAGATGCTAACATCTTGGTTATTAACCAGGAGGGATTCCCTCTGTCTCCTCTTCTAAGGATCTGTGGGAGAGAAACTCCTCTGGAGGCAACACAGGGATGGTAGCCTTTGCAGACCATTTACATGCACACAATCCTACACTACAGGCAGGGGCGCCGTAAGGGGGTGAAAAGTTAGGACGATTCTAAGGGCCCGTGACTGACAGGGGCCCCAAATATTTTTAGAACATTAAGAAAAAAAATGTAAGTAACCTTTCATCAATCATCAATAATTAACATTGATATAAC